AATAGTTTGGTAGCCCAGTCCAGCCTTGTGTAGGTCTACAATCTTGTCCCTGACATCCTTGGACAGCTCTTTGGTCTTTGCCATGGTGGAGAGTTTGGAATCTGATTGTTTGATTGCTACTGTGGACAGGTGTCTTTTATACAGGTAACAACATGAGATTAGCAGCACACCCTTTAAGAGACTGCTTCTAATCTCAGCTTGTTACCTGTATGAAAAACACCTGGTAGCCAGAAATCCTGCTGAATGATAGGAAGTCAAATACTTATTTCCCTCATGAACATGCAAATCAGTGCATAATTTGTTAGACACGCATTTCTTTTGAATTTTTTGTTGCTATTCTGTCTCAGTGTTACAATACACCTACCATTCAGTTTTTAGACTGATCATTTCTTTGTGAGTGGGCAAACATTCAAAATCAGCAGGGAATCAAATACTTATTTCCTTCACTGTACATGTAGCTATGAAACTAGATCTTAATACCAGTTTTGTAATTTCATTATATGGAAAGTGTTCAGTGGGACATCTTTCTTGTCCTTTTTGATTATACTGGGTTTTAATATGTTTTGTATTTTCATAATATGGAAAATGCATAGTGTGGCACCCTCTTCATCTTTTTTGGTTATACTGGGTTTTAATATTAGTTCTGCATTTTCATTATATGGACAATTTGCGGTGGAGTATCTGCTTTATTCCTTTTAGTTATACTTGCTTTAAATAGGTTCTTCTTGTCCTTATAGAACGCTCCTGTATAGCGACACTTTATAGTAGATGTAAACCCTAACTGAATTACATTTAGTTTACTAATTTGCTGTAAGCAATTGCTTGTTTCATTTAATACTGTTATCTCCTTTTTTCCCATCATATTTGTCATATCAGCTCTGTTGATCTTCAGCTTCATATTTGCAGCCACGTCATGTCTGCATACATGCACTATGGCAACTGCTGCACATCCGTTTCTCAGGGTGGGTTTCCTAATGGTGATAATGATTGCATGATGACTGAGCAATGTATGTCAAAACTTGCAGTTTGAACTGGGAGAGCATGTGGCAGAGTGACAATGCTGGACCGCAATTGCAAAATTTGTGGACAGGTACAGTCTTGTCACCCCATAACAGGAAATGCCTGAATAAGGACTTTTATGATGGGATCATAAAGTATTATTGTAATGAAAATGAAGATTTAATGAGATTGATGTTGATTTTTGGATTGAAGGCTTAAAGCCTTCGATTTCTCCACAAATCAGATCAATACCTGTTTGTACTTCAATAGATTAAATTTCCATGGTCATAAAAGGTTTGTGTAACTTGGTGGAAACCTCTTATTTACCTATAATAGTTCCCTTTAAACCAAAAGGTATTGTTCTGTAACAGATTTTCTTCCCTTTTTTCTTCCATACAAATATGACTACTTCTACACTCACAGGCCACTTTATTAGGTACACCTTGCTAGTACCGAGTTGGGCCCCTTTTGCCTTCAGAGCTGCCTTAATTCTTTGTGGTATTGATTCAACAAGGTGTTGGAAACATGCTTCAGAGATTTTGGTCCATTTTGACATGATAGCATCACGCAGTTGCTGCAGATTTCTTGGTTTGTACTTCCATGATGTGAATTTCCTGTTTCACTACATCCCAAAGGTGCTCTATTGGATTGATATCTGGTGACTGTGGAGGCCATTGGAGTACAGTGAACTCATTGTCATGTTCAAGAAAAACCAGTTTGAGATGATTTTGGTGAGCCTGTGTGAATTGTAGCCTTAGTCTTAGTTGAAAGGAATGGCACCCGGACTGGTCTTCTGCTGCTGTAGACCATCTGCTTCAAGGTTCGACATGTTGTGCATTCAGAGATGGCATTCTGCATACCTTGGTTAAGTGCTTAATTAAGTTACTGTTGGACCTGTTAGTCTGTAAACCCTAGAGATGGTTGTGCGCGAAAATCCCAGTAGATCAGCAGTTTTTGAAATACTTAAACCAGCCCGTCTGGCACTAACCATGCAACGTTCAAACTCACTTAAATCCCCTTTCTTCCCCATTCTGATGCTTCAGCAAGTTGTCTTCACCATGTATAGATGCCTACAGTTGTGTCCAAAATTATTCAACCCCCACTGAAATTGAGTGTTTTGGCCATTTGACATTGCTTTTGATCATTCAGTCATCTTGCTTACATTTACATTAAAGAGGCACTTGTAGGTCAGACAAATATAACATAACAGTTATAATGAAAATAACCACAAATGTCTTTTCTGTGCTCACAGCATTATCAGTTTTATTCAACCCCCAAGTGACATTCAATCTTAGTACTTAGTACAGCATCCTTTTACAGTTATAACAGCTTTTAAACGTGAAGCATAGCTTGACACAAGTGTCTTGCAGCGATCTACGGGTATCTTCGCCCATTCTTCATGGGCAAAGGCCTCCAGTTCAGTCACATTCTTAGGCTTGCGCACTGCAACTGCTTTCTTTTAAGTCCCACCAGAGGTTCTCAATCGGATTTAAGTCTGGTGACTGCGATGGCCACTCCAAAATGTTCCAGCCTTTCCTCTGCAACCATGCTCTAGTGGACTTGGAGGTATGCTTGGGATCATTGTCCTGTTGAAAGGTCCAACGTCTCCCAAGCCTCAGGTGTGTGACGGACTGCATCACGTTTCCATCCAATATCTCCTGGTACTGAAGAGAATTCATGGTACCTTGCACACGCTGAAGCTTCCCTGTACCTGCAGAAGCAAAACAGCCCCAAAGCATGATTGACCCTCCACCATGCTTCACAGTAGGCAAGGTGTTCTTTTCATCATAGGCCTTGTTCTTCCTCCTCCAAACATAGCGTTGATCCATGGGCCCAAACAGTTCTAATTTTGTTTCATCAGTCCACAGAACACTATCCCACAACTTTTGTGGTTTGTCCACATGGCTTTTGGCATACTGCAGTCGACTCTTCTTATTCTTTGGAGACAGCAAGGGGGTACGCCTGGGAGTTCTGGCACGGAGGCCTTCATTACGCAGTGTGCGTCTTATTGTCTGGGCTGAAACTTCTGTACCCACATCTGACAAATCTTTTCTCAGTTCCTCAGCAGTCACACGGGGACTTCTCTCCACTCTACGCTTCAGGTAGCGCACAGCAGTCGAAGTCAGCATCTTCTTTCTGCCACGACCAGGTAGCGTTTCAACAGTGCCCTTTGCCTTGAATTTGCGAATGATGCTTCCTAAGGTGTCTCTTGGTATGTTTAACATCTTTGCAATCTTCTTATAGCCATTGCCCTTCCTGTGAAGAGAAATCACCTCTTCTCTTGTCTTCCTGGACCATTCTCTTGCCTTCACCATGTTTGTAACCACACCAGTAAATGTCTAGAAGGAGCTGAGTATCACAGTCATTTTAAAGCTGCCTAATTGGTGCTTATTATGCTTGATTGCTGCTCGGTGACATCCACAGTGTTTTTCAATACCTGATGGAAAGCACCTGTATGAACCTCTGTTCTTCAGAGTGGTAGTCTTTAAGGGGTTGAATAATTGTGGCAATGAAGAAACCACATAAGAACCATTTACTACTGTATTACATAAAAACAATTGATGTCATTTTAGTTGCATTTGGGTAGTTACAACGTCCTTGTAGGATTTGATTCTGAATACAATTCCAAATGTACACTATAGTCCCTAAACCCCTTTACAGCATTGGGGGTTGAATAATTTTGGACACAACTGTACGTGCATTGAGTTGCTGCTATGGCTGATAGCAATTTGTGTTACCAAGCAATTGCTGCTTAGATGTGGTGGCTGCATTTGTTCTTTTTTGTACTTGGTGATCTTGCCAGTAACACACTTAATAAAGAGGCTGGTGAGTGTATACCATTTGTATGTTCTGTTTATAATATAAAGTGAGTTTACATTGCAACTTGCTAAATGCCACTCTTAATCGCACCAGAGGTGGTCAAGATAATTAAAGTAGTAAATTTTTGCTTATACCCAGTGAAGTGACTGGCCTCAGTTGATACACAGAGATTAAACAAATCATCCTACATAAGATTTACCTGTTTATCTACAGCTGTCGGTCCCCTACATCCATTCAAAGTGCTAAATGTACACAGGAGCTCTCAGCTTAGAAAAGCAGGGGGAGGTAGCTGACTTTACATCAGAAAAGAGAACTCTGGGAGCTGATAGCGGGGAAGGAACCCCCCCCCTTCCAAAAAGACACAGGAGCAGAGCTGAGTGTGTCAATCACAGGCTGTGCCCTACCTTGTCCAGTTTTTTTCTCCGGTGTCAGGAAATCTCATAGCATTGCAGGGTATTAGCGTCTGGTATCCAGATAGCGTCTAGTCCACAACACAGTCAGTGGCTTACGTAAATTATCAAGGAGAAATCAGGAGTCAGATGACTAGAAATAAGGTGGCTTGCAAGAGAATCGATTTTGCACCTAAAAGTCTCATGTTAAATTTGCCTCCAGTGGGCTTCCTGAAAATGGACCTCATGGCTTCATACCACAATCAGCAGGTTCATGAGTTTCATAGCCTGAATACTTTGGTGACCCATAGACCCCCTATTTACCAATATATGTATTCCTTCCATTCATGTTGATTCTGTGCTCCTAAAGCAGGCCAAACTGGAAAGGAATACCCACCATTCTTGTGTCCCCAGGCTGCCTAAGTCCTAGTACTAGGAGGTAATATCTCTGGTAACAGATACGCCCTAGCCTCTGCCTAACTACTAAACTTACTCTCCCAGGGATCAATTCTGCTTCCTGCAACTCAATTGTAATGACTTTTGAAGGCCAGAGAATGGGACATTCCTTAACCACTAGCCTACAGGGCACTTATACCCCCTTCCTGCCCAGGCCAATTTTCACCTCTGGGATTTTTATTTTTTCTTAAACCAAAAACCACTGAAAATTTAAAAAAATAAGTTTTTTCTTAGTTTTTGTTATACAATTTTGTAAATAAGTGATTTTTTCTCCTTCACTGATGTACGCTAATGAGGCTGCACTGATGGACACTGATAGGTGGCACTGATAGGTTGCACTGATGGGCATTGACAGGCATCACTGATGGGCGCTGAAAGGCAACACTGATACATGACACTGATATATGGCACTGACAGTCGGCACTAACTGGCACTGATAGGTGGCACTGATTGGCATTGATAGGTGGCACTGATGGGTGACATTGAAAGGCAGCTCAGATGGGCACTGATATGTGGCATTGATGTGCACTGGTATGCACTGATATGTGGCACTGACGGGCACACTGACAGGTGACACTTCTGGGGCCACACTGATCATCAGTGCCCTGATGATCAGTGTAAATGTCCCCTCCGCGGAAAGCCGATTACCAGCTCTCCTCTCCTCCCGAGCTGTCAGCATGACAGCTTGAGAGGAGAGAAATGCCGATAACCGGCATTTCTGTGTTTACATGTGATCAGCTGTGATTAGACATAGCTGATCACATGACCGAGCCGACATCTTCGGCTCTTTCCGTGATCCGCTGTGTCCGAGGGACACAGCGCACCAGCGATTGCCGCGCTGCACGCTCCCTGAGCCACACATGCGCAGTGAGAATGGAAGGACGTCATATGACGTCCTATCAGAACGAGAGAACCACCTTGCGCCCGTCATTGTACTATATGGCGGGCAGAAGGTGGTTAAATTGCATTCACCGTTTGCCATACCTGAAAGATATGGCATGTTGACAATTGCTAGGTCTTATTAGGTTAAGAGATAGTTACCTGCTTTCCTTGTCATTGCTCATTATACTAAAGCAGTTGGAACCTATTGGTCTGTTTTACATCAGGCTTTTGCCTCTCAGGTATGTAAAAAACTGCATACTTCCAGCTGGACTTCAGTTCAAACTTTAAGCTTAGAGTGGTATTAAACCCAAAACCAAAAATGTATTTTATTGCTGCTTACCAATCATTAGATGTGGTGGCTGCATTTGTTCTTTTTTGTACTTGGTGATCTTGCCAGTAACACACTTTCTTTATTAGAGTACCCCACTCTGAAGGACCACAGGGAGCACCTTTAGATAGCTGCATTGTCAGTTGGGGAGGAGGGGATTGTCATGTACTAGCAGATTTAAATACACTAACAAGTTGAAACCAAACTTCAGCTCACACTGCAGTTACAACAAGATTTTCTTTTAGGATAAAAGTTTTACACAAATAAATAAAACCTGACCATTGTAAGCAACCCTGTCAGTGGTAAATGGTCAGTCTCAACACTCAAACTGCTACATTTACAAGAGCGCTTGGTCTGTTGAAAAACGAATGCGGCCATCGCATCCAAGAATTGGTAAACCGCAATATAATAAATATTTGCTTTTGGGTTTAATAGTGCTTTAATCCCATGAATATGATGGTCTCAGCTTCCTTGGGATGAAAGGTCTTTCAATGACTGTGTGATCAGTCAGGCATAACACTACCTGTAATGTGATGACCGCACATCTGAACATCCTGACATGTGATTGCAGTTCTATAATTACTTTCTTCAATAGCTCAGCAGGTGTTTGATATGTATACAGCAAGGCCACTGCTTTTACACAGGGAGAAAGAGTCCTTCTCTGCAGCATGGTAGAAGGGAACAGGTTTTTTTATGCTAAAGAAAATTAACTTTAAGGATTTTTTGTTTTTCATTTTCCTGGAATGTACTGAGCTGATTTAAACTTCATCTGGGCTTAGAGAGTAGATGAAGTATAATAGATGAGGGCTACATTCACCACTCTATTGATAGGTGGATTCCAGCACTATGAGGTGTAAACTGTGTATTTACACAATTTCAGCACCATGGAGAGCATATTGACAAATTACCGAAGTTCATTCCCATTATTTAACAAGGTTCGCCCAAACATTCCCTCTAAGAGTCAAGAAAATCTCTACTTTATGTTCAACATTTAAATGACATTAGACTCAACAACATTCCTTTATGCATTTACCCATCAGCTGTGTGCATAATTAATAGAGTAAATGTTGCCAGAAACTGATGGGTGAATCTTGCTTGAGGTGATTGTAGCCGTATTAGTGCACTTGCGACAGAAACAATTGAGTACTGACTTTATTTGCACCAACATACAATTTTGAGGACAAGCGTTTGGGGTATGTCCCCTTCTTCAAGGTCCAAGCAGTACTATTACAAAGTTTTAGCAGAATGTTAGAAGAGATGTGGGGGATAAGAAAAAAAAAAGCAGAAAGAAACACAAGCCTAGGGTTAGAGTAGAGATAAAACACAGCAAAGTAAAAGCAAAGACTGGGGGGGACAACACTCACAGAGGGAGTGATAAAAATGTTGGATAATGATTGAGGAATCCCATGTCCAAATTATTTTTTAGCCAATTTATTTATGGCTGACCTGGAGGAGAAATTCCTGAACAGCATGGAACAAAAACCATACAGATACTATCGCTATATTGATGATATTTTCATCATATGGACAGAAGGTGAAGAATACCTAAAACAATTTTACTCATTGATCAACACTTTTCATCCATCAATCAAACTAAAAATGGAATACTCAAACACACACGTCAACTTCCTAGACACCACAGTATACATCAGGGATGATACGCTTCTCACCTCAATATACAGGAAACCCACTGACAGATGCAACTACCTCCACAGTTTCAGCTTCCACCCCCAACACACAAAACATGCCATCATACACAGTCAGGCCATCAGATACCACCGAATATGTTCTGACCCAAGAGACAGAGATACACATCTTGAGACACTAGCAGACTCCTTCCATAAGAAAGGTAACAAGGACAAAACTATCAATACACCGCATAACCACAGCCTTGAGAACCCGAAGGGAAAATCTACTTCAGTACAAAGAGAAAAAAACAAACAACCGTGTACCTCTAGTAACCACATACAACCCAGCACTAGAAGGAATAAGAAAAATAATCAAAGATTTACAACCCATCATAACAGAGGATGGAACTCTGAAAGAAATATTCCAGAAACCCCCAATACTGGCCTTCAGACAACCCCCCAACCTCAGAAATAAACTAATCAGTAGGAAACTTCCTGCTGATTATGAGGTCACAAATAATGGAAGCACACCCTGCAATAAAATACGCTGCAAACTGTGCAACCAAATCAATCCATCAAAAAGTGTCACACACTCAAAAGGGATCTTCAATATCTCCAGATCATACAGCTGCACCTCTAGTAATGTTGTATACCTTATCCAGTGCAGAAAATGCAGCAAAGGATTTTATGTTGGTGAAACAGGACAGAAGTTGCAAACAAGGATGAATTTGCACAGACATACCATCAAGGAACATAAAGATGACTTTTGCACACTTGTGGGACACCATTTCGCACAACCAGACCACATTATGGAAGACCTCAATGTTTTAGTTCTTAAAGGAAATTTCAAATCCATTCAGGAAAGAAAAACTTTTGAACTAAGAATGATAATTCTATTTGACACAAGAGATAATGGCCTGAATTTGGACATGGGATTCCTCACTCATTATCCAACATTTTTATGACTCCCTCTGTGAGTGTTGTCCCCCCCCCCAGTCTTTGCTTTTACTTTGCTGTGTCTTATCTCTAGTCTAACCCTAGGCTTGTGTTTCTTTCTGCTTTTTTTTTTTTTTCCTCATCCCCCACATCTCTTCTAACATTCTGCTAAAACTCTGTAATAGTACTGCTTGAACCTTGAAGAAGGGGACATACCCCGAAAGCTTGTCCTCAAAATTGTATGTTAGTGCAAATAAAAAAAGTATCACGTCAGTACTCAATTGTTTATGGGTGAATCTTGTAACTAATCTTTTGCTGGAATGTTCACTGGGCAAATAGTGTATAAATGTGAAATTCCCAGACAATTACATATTTCCCTAACTACAGCTTTGTCAATCCAAATTCCACATCTTTTCAAGTATAACATTACAGATATTTTGTTCTCTTAACAGAGAACACCCAAGAAATTGAATCTACTGCCAATGTGCATACAACACTCAACCCAGCAAGGTTGTTATAACTAAATCCCAAATACCCTCCCCTCCTTCCAGCCTCTACAGAGGACAGTCCTTTATTGATTTTTTCAATGAAGTTTTTTCAGATGTCCTTATGCTAGTCACATGATGCCACAGGGTCCTCCTTGGCACTTTGCAGTCCTCAATGTAGAGAGGTAATAATGTAAGCATTGTTCTCTGTGTCATTGTATATACTGTAAGTGCAGGGTGTTGTGGTGCCATCCTTCCTTCCTTCTTCCTCCAGGCCTATGACATTCTTCCCTCACAGCAAGTTGAATGACACTGAGGAGTTATTTACTACTAAAATTGGAGCGTGCAAAAGCTGCTGCAATTCTGCAGAGAAACCAATCAGCCTGCAGGCTTTATTGTCAAAGCTGAAGTTAGAAACTCGCTACCATGCACCGCTGCACCAGATTATGAATGCACCAATTTTAGTAAATCCACCCTGTGCGTCTTCAAATCCAAAAGACCAGTGTTGGATCCAGAACATTCATGTTTTTTCCCAGTCTACTGAGATTTTTATCTTTATGTTTTTGAAAAGTTGGAGTTGCGCTTTAAGGCATATTCGACCGCTTAGCATTTAGTTTGATGAAAGTGCTGGCACAGCTTACATCCACATAGGACAACATCGGTAAGAATCTGTAATAGAGGTTGCCAAGAGTTCCACTGCAAATAAAGATCATAATAATTTACAGTACATGAAAAATCAAAGAAAGAAATTATCTTTGATGGCTGCTTTTCTGTAATGAAGATTTGTTAGTTTAAACTTAAATGGAAATACATGAAATCAGTGAAATAATAAGATCAACACATCAAGATAGGAAGGCAAATGTACATTCTGTATGTATTAGGTGCATATTTACAGCCAATGGTCTCTTTTACAGATGATTTTCTAAACAAGTCTTGAGTGCAATAGATTAGTTTAAGTAAAGGACTACAACCTGCATTTGTACACATTTTTCAGTGAAAGCATACATTAAGATACACAGCAGTGAAAGTTTGCTTCTTGTCAGCCTTGTGTAAGAAATAATAAAATAAAGGACATTTCCACTACTGAAGAACACCCTTGCATTACCCTGTTACCATCTTTTAACAGTCAGGTTGTTTTCTTTCTACAAACACATTGCTTATATGGTAGCCTATAAAAGACATGAGTTTAAATATGAACATTTTGGTGGTTTATTTTTCTCTCATGACCCTCCCTTTTGAAGAATATACACTGACATTTTGAGATTTATGTCACAGTACATACACTATATTGCCAAAGGTATTGGGGCACTCCTCCAAACCATTGGATTCAGGTGTTCCAATCACCTCCATGGCCATAGGTGTATAAAATCAAGCACTGCATCTACAAACATTTGTGAAAAAATGGGTCACTCTCAGGAGCTCAGTGAACTCAAGCGTGGTACCGTGATAGGTTGCCACCTGTGCAATAAGTCCATCCGTGAAATTTCCTTGCTACTAAATATTCCACAGTCAACTGTTAGTGGTATTATAACGAAGTGGAAGCAACTGGGAACAACAGCAACTCAGCCAC